AAAGCAGTCCGAGGTAAATATCGCCATGCTGTTGATACAGGACGCAGGAGTGGACACGGTCGAGTGGTTCTTCTGTACTTCGAACTGTGCGAACAAATCTGGGGTGGCTCTCCAGCTAGTACTACCATATCCTCCGGTATTGAAACAGCTGACCTGGATCATTCTCGGACCCTACCCTCACCATCCACATCTTCTTCCTCCACTACCATGGATGTAGCAGACACAGGGTCTGATAATGAAAGCAGTGTGGGTCCTACTTCAAAGGAGAGGAGAGACCTGCTTGATGTACGTATATTTTTCTGTCCATTCCTCATAAATAAAAGTACTTTTGCTGTAAATGTTCATCTGTTGGATGTACTATAATTCACGGAACAGGTTTGTTGAATTGTGTTGCTATTAAAAATACAGTTAAGGCAATATGTGTGTTAAAAATGATGCAAGAGTTGAGGTGTGTAGTGGAGGCTGGAATGTGATGTTTTTTATATTTTACTGTGTACGGGTTGCTGATTTATTTTTATTATTATTGCAAAAAAGAAATGACACCATCATGCTCTTACTCATCTCATATTATGTTAGGCCTACATATTCATTAGTTTGATGGGGTGGTGGATACAAAATACACTTTAAGACATATAGCAAACATTGGATACGCTGTTATTACATATTGTTATGTAGAAGTGATGTGAAAAGTACAACATCAACATGATCCAGGTTTACTTTTTTATGTTTAATTGTGATGATTTTCATTTCTCTTTTGAAGGCAAAACTAAAAGGACACAGACACGACCGTCTGAGGAGAAAGCTGCCTGCTGAGACCCAGTGGCTGAATGCTCTTGAGGAAGACCAGCGTGTGAAAAAGAGACTGGTGGAAATCATTGAGACATCAGAACAAAAAGCATCCGAAAACTATTCAAAAATGTCCAATACACTGGAAAGACTTACCACATCGATTGTTGATGGGTTTTCTCTTCTGAAACAGGTCATTCATACACCTGCACAACCACCACACTACATGCCATATGAGCCAAGAGGTCCGATGTATTCGCACACAATGGCCCACCATTCTGTCCACCAAAACTCAGCAAATTACCCATACCCAAACAACTCCACTTCTGACAGAACACGTCAAAACACAAGACCAGGAAACACTATGAACACTGAAGCTGTGTTCCACACACCTGCTGAAGCCACTGACCAATTTTCATTCAGTCAGGCCCTTTTTAGTGACCAGTAGAGTACTGTTTTATACATCGAAGCAAGTCTGGTACAGTTAAGTATAAGTTCCACTTTTGCACAAGGTTGCACACATGTCAGGTTGTTAATCACAGTGTTATTTACTCTGACAGTGTGTTTTTTTTTCTGTTTGCTATCTTTTTATACATACTGTGAAAAGCTTAAAATGTAGCAATTGCACAATACTTTAACTATTTACATTTTTGTTACGTGAATCTTTATAAGAGTGGTGATCTAGTCCAGTCCTTGGGAGCTACTGCTACTTAGATGTATTTATTTCTCCAAAACACCACTATCAAATACATACTGATGATTGAAATCAGCTATTTCATACTGGTTTGTTGAAGAAAATGCAGCTGAAATGTACCTGTGGTAGCTCCCAAGTTATGGACTTGGGCATCACTGATTTAAAAGTGTACAGTAACTGTGCTGCTTTTCTCCCATGTTTAAAAAGCTTTATCTGTTGTAGATCTGTTATAATCTGATCTGTTCATAAATGAAACACAAAATAAGAACATGTTAAGTGTGTTCGTTTGAATAAATTGACAAACATTTTAAAAGCAAGTTTCTTTGTGAATTTTTGTGAATATGACATTTATCAGTTACAAATACAGTCATGTTCATCAGAAAGTATTGGCAGCACTATTTAATACACTACAGGTCCAATTTTAAGAGAGAAAAGTAAAATCATTTCACTTAAAAGTCTGTCTAATGAGCTACAAACTGTTATATAATGTATCTAAATCCTGGGTGGTAGCTTTTCATGCATTAAGAGAATGAAATGCAATAACATTGCACAAAACAATTTAAAAATTCTCTAACATACATGGTGCTAACTATAACATTTTTTTATGAAAAAACAACGCAGTCTGCTAAATAGTTCACAGGTTTTTGTGTTTATGGATCCAGACACTGAGTGAGGACTCTCCTGACCCGCTTTCCTTCTGCTGCCAAGCTGTCTCCTCTGACCACTGGCTGTGTGTCCGGTTGATTGTTCCTGTCATGTTGAATAGCTTCAGTTATTCTGTTTTCATCCACAGTGTCTTTTGATGCCTCACAAAAATTGTGCAACACAAAACATGCATATATAACAAATGGAAGATCATTCATATTGATGTCCATGGCTCTCCTCAGGGCTCCAAATCGGGCTTTTAGTCTTCCAAACGCACATTCAATCACCATTCTAGCTCGGCACAACGAAAGTCCAAAGTACTGCTCCTGAACATTGCTTCCTCCGTTAGCATATTCTTTCATCAGGTAAGGTAGAAGTGGGTATGCAGGGTCACCCAGTATGTAAATGGGTATAGCGTCTTCGTTCTCCACAATTTGTCTTGGACAGGGGGGAATCTTCATGTTTTTCAGATTTGTGTTTATTGTGGAGTTAGCAAAAACTCTGGCATCATGCACACTCCCTGGCCATTTCACAACTACATCAATAAAGCTGTACTTGTAATCACAGGTGGCTTGTATGTTAAGAGAAAACCTCCCCTTCCTATTTAGGTACTCTGTAGAATTAGCTGATGGCTGCTTTATCTCCACATGAGTCCCATCCACAGCTCCAAGGCACTGAGGGAGACCATAAGCCTGCTCAAATCCCTCAACAAGTGCACGCACAGCAGTCTCTGTTGTTGGCATTTTTATGTAAGATGGTCCCAAGTACACAGTTATAGCCTTACACACCTCTCTAATTATGTTTGAGACTACCTGTCTTGATAAGCCAAATGCATTGGCCGTTTTACGCAGTCTTCCCTCGTCAGCCAAATAATATAGCGTGCATGCAACTTTTTTGACCACACAGACTGGAGATCGCATTACAGTACTCTTCCCTTGAATGTAAGGAAGGAGTAACTCCGAGAGCGACAGTAATGACGACCGTGACATTCTGAAGTTCTCACGCCATTCCTGTGGGAGAACAATTTCCTTCTCAAAGTTTTCCCACCAGCCAGCAGTGCGTCCAGGTCTGATCCAAAACCGGCGACGGCGACGCTGAATGGCGGTATTGTGCCTCCGTATCGGTAGGGATAGTTGCTGTAAAAGAGCTGAACGCCAAGCGCTTTTTCTCCTTTGTAATTCCATCTGTTGGAGCAGTTGTGCTTGTAAAAACAAGCAAGCAAAAATTGCCTGAACCAGCGTTACAATTAGTACTTCCCTAAACGCAGTCATTTTCCCTCCGAATGAATGGGCAAACAAAAACAATTGTCGCACATGTGACGTCAGCGCCGCGCTGCACCATCTGTCGCAGACATAATGCGCATATCTCCGGTTCCGAAAGTCCACACGCAAACCCGAAAGAGGAGATTTCTCAAATCTCCACTTTGGTCGGAGTTTTTGTTATTATTCGTTTATAGTTACATCAACCGGAGTTCACGTGTGGATGAAAGGCCACACCGCATGATAAACTATTCGGTTTTCCTGATATCCGGCTACGTGTGTACAGGGCCTCATAATCTTTACCAGAACAACGACTTACTGTACCTGACCTAAATTCAAAAATGACTTGGGACTATGAAGTTTCATGTTTTGGATTATGAGCACATGCTTTGTGTCCCCACCTAAAGACACAACCCCTGAATATGACTGCAAAACAGATTATGCACAGCAGTGAAGACATCTGCTATTAATTAAAACAGAAAAAAGCCAAACATTCCAGAGGAGCAGCAGCAGCAACCCCCCTGACCGCCCACCCACTGTTATCTTTATCTTTTTTTCCTTTTGCCCTTACTATTTCACTCATCTCCACAACAACTAACTAAATCTCCATGTTATGTGGGCTAAGGCTAAAGGGGACTATAGAGGGCTGATGAAAAAGACAAGAAAAAAGGGCACATGCAATGTGGGTGTACATTTTTGCCCTTGGAAGACTTTGGAGTCTCTCCAGCCATTTAATAGCCACTTTAGCCTCTTCCTCTCACTTCTCGCACACACATCCTCACCACAGAAACACCGACTAGACGGAATGGACTGAGGAGTCAAGAGCATAAATAACCAAGCAAAGAAAAGGGGGTGTTTGTGGAGGAAAATGGGTGTGGTGGAGGGGCTTTGAGGAGAGAGTGGGAAAAAAGAGGCCAAAAAAATGAACAGTCAGAGGAACATGGAAAATCCCTGGTTCCCAAGCCAAGAATCGTCCACAGTAAAAACATGCACAAACACACACGCACATGCACAGTGTATCCAAAAGCCCATAGGGTTCTCAAAACAAATCAGAAGGTAGTGATAAAAATTATCAGTTGGTCTCAGGAGAAATCTTAACCTATTTTTTTACTTTCAGTACTTTCCACAAAGTAAAATCACGTAAAACAAAATGAAAGTAATAATCATTTTGCCTTCTTGGGAACAGTTTGACCTTCACTAAACGTTTCGTATATATGGCACTGCATTGAAACAAATAACCTATCACATATAACCATCTTTTGAAAAACCTACAAAATAGGCATAACTTTTTGACAACAAAACAGGCCAGATTTAAAGGGATGTGTTATCATGAATAATTCAGTGTAAATGTCTGCTGGCCAATTGCGTTGTGGTTATGATAATGACCAGTTACAGGCAGCCACATTACAGCTCACAGCGCATGTCAACAGTTTTGCCTTTCCTGCATCACACTAGCAAGTGGTGCAGTGGCTATCTATAGTCCAACGCTATTTTCAGACAGTGCAGACAGGACACAGATGAACTCACACAAACCTTTATTTACCACATTGTCTTGGGACAGAAAATGGGGCACACACCAAAGAATCACTTGAGGCCAGTTTTAGTGAGAGTAAAGTTCCTGGTTTAAAGGATCATGGAAGTGCCTGAAGACCTGGGAATCGGCCAGGATATTAATGACGAGAATGTGACCCTTGGTCTGGAAGAAAGAGAGCACCAGGCGGGCTGGGTAAGAGTGAAAGTAGAGGAAAGCTGGTTCACATTGGAGCGGGGTTTTCTTGAAAAGTACAGTGACTATTTCCGGGCCCTTTTTGACTCTGGGATGAAAGAAAGCCAGCAGGAAGAGCTGCACCTAAAAGACGGAGTGCGTGCAAGAGGATTTCTTATTGCCCTTGTTGTCTGCAGGGATGAGAATCCCACTCTTACTGACCCGGATGAGCTTGTTGAAACTGTAGAGTGTGCTGCTTTTCTACAAATTGCAAATCTGGTCCAGTATCTTTGTGATATCATAGACTCAGACAACTGCCTTCTACTTTACCATGCAGCTGCCATCTTTGGAGTGCATAGATTGTTTCACAGTGCTGCTCTCTTTCTTTGTGATGCTTTTGATGACCTCAAAGAAGCAGCAGAAAACACAATCCCTAAAGAGCTACTACAGTATTCTCAAACATTGTCTCCTGCTACCTATGTCGCCATAGGCACTCATACTCCTTCCATGGAATTGCTACAAGACTCTTTTAGGGTTGTTTGCTTCCTTGACGAAAAGGAGGGTGAGTGGAAGCATTTGACCCACCTGCCAACTCCATGTAGCACTTCTATGGCTGGGGTAGCAGTGCTTGACAATCGACTGTACATTGTTGGGGGGATTTATGGTTATGGTAAGGACACTGTGGACAGTAGCTTCTGTTACAACCCTGAGTCAGGGATTTGGACTACTCTTCCAGGTCCCCAGCAACCAAGATATGATTTCACCTTGATTGGACATGAGAACCGACTCTATGCCATCGGTGGTGAGGTCCAAAAAAGAATAGTTTCCACTGCTGAACGGTATGACTCTATAAAAGGAGAATGGACATTTATCCGGCATGCACCAAGACCGGTAGCGTCAGCAGCTTGTGCTGTTGCACATCGGAGAATATTTGTTTGCTTCTGGAAACCGCCTGACACTACAGACATCTATGAGTATATACCTCTAAAAGATGAATGGAAGCTAACCACCACATTGATCAAACCTCAAAGTTACGGCCACTGTATGGTGGCCCACAGAGACAACTTGTATGTGATGCGCAATGGACCTTGTGATGACTTCCTGCGCTGCCTCATGGACTCCTATAACATCACAACGGGTCAATGGACAGCCATGCCCGGTCATTACATCAACAGTAAGGGAGCACTGTTCACCGCTATGATAAGGGGAGACTCTGCCTTCACAGTGAAACACATGTTAACTCTTGAATACACCATCACTGCAGATGGATGGAAACCTCGCAGGCAGATGAAGGGATTCCCAAAGAGTGGCTCGCTTTGGACATGTTTACTCCGGCTCCCTATAAGTGGACCAGTAATACCAAAACTGAATGTGGATAACAGGAAGGGAGGAATTCCTTTGCCAGATGCATTAGAGGACTTTGCAGATGATATACCACACTTATGAAGCAATATACAAAAGTAATGGGAATATCAATCTAAAAGTGAGAATAAATCTAGAGGTTCTTAACAAAATATATACTCTTCATTGTGATGCACTAACTTTCACATGTGTGCACTCTTTGCACACACTAATATACATGTGCTGACACTAACCATTTGTTCTGATTGGCAACAGCTGCTACTGCAGTTTATACTGGGGAGGCTGTTTTTGTGTGTGTGTTTGTGTTTGTGTGTTCAAAGTTCAAAGGCATTATAATGGGATGTTCTAAACCTCTCATTCTCTGCCTTTTTCCTGAAGTCACACTGGGCCATTTCGGGAACCAGCAGTCAACACAACCCACCTCTCCCCCCCCCCCCACACTTGCATTTTACTGCGTTAATGCTCCATCACAAGTTTATTACCTATTATTGTGGGATAATTTTATTTGTCCCCCTCGGGCTGGTGAACTTTAAGGTTATGGGAAATGTGTTTAATATGCATATCCACAGATTGTATTTGTTTTAGTTAAATTAAAAGCAAATATGTTCCTTTTTTAGTATGTTTACTCTACTGCTAAAGTAGCTTAATTACAGTTAAGTACATTTGTTGTGTGTATACCTAAATATAAATTCTTGAGACGTTCTTTTCCTTAAAAGTTAAAATGTGTCATTTAGTTAAATTCACCTGAAAGAAATCTACTGAACTTTTTAATTAATTTGAATTTACATCAACAGTTTAGGCAGGGATGCTGTTACTGCTCCCACTGAGGGGAAAGTTTTGCTTGTTAATCTGTTTTGGTGGGAAAGATCTGATAATAACTCACAGCTCTGGGAGGCGGCAGGTCAGGAAGGCTCTTCTGTGGAACCAGGACATTTTTCGTTGCTTTTCCGTTGACCAGGGCGTCAAATTGCTTGTCTGGGTTACAAAGCAAAAAGATAGGAGGTCAGTGCATATATCAGCAATCTTGAATCTAGCTTTACCACTGACTATTGTAAATAAAAACTTGTATAATCAGTCAAAGAACTAGTCCCTGTTTTCCCCAAGCTTAATCTCCCGATGGTTTTATATTATTGTGCTTTTCCATTATGCTTTTTGCCTTTTAATTTTGTTAAAACAATAAATAAATTGTTTTCACTGGCCAGCTCAGTCCAGCATCTTGGTCCTTCCTCTGTACACATCATTAACATTTATTACATAATTCACTTTTACCACATAACCCAAAGCATATTGGATAATATGATATAATATTCATGTCTCAAAATGTAATAAAATCTTAATATTTCAACACATCTGGGAAACTTTCCATAAAGGCTATTCAGAAAAGCAGGAATTTAAAAGCCACTAAGCTGTGCTGAATATATCAAGTTTTGGCATGTTTATTAATTTTTCTAAATTTACATTCAGACTGGCATGTATGGTTCCATGTAAAATATATGTTTGGCATGTTTTTTTTCAACACATTTACATTACATTGCTGCAGGCTAGTCATACTGCAACGCAGTTTGCAGGAACACAATTTTATTTCAGACAGTTTCAAGTTTTATTCTTTAACGAAACAAAAACTTGATACATCCTCAAATTCTTTCTAACCATTTCCAAGTTTACCCTTTATTATTGCTACACAAATGCACATTTATCTGACTGCACCATGTAATCTATTCATGACCCAATACTGACTGTAAAAAATAAGTCTACTGTCCAAAAAGCCTAATTTTATGGTTCAAAATGAATGAGATCTTTGTTTCTTTGATCAAAGAAAGCTTAAATCCACAAATAAAATTCTAAACTATGTTGCACCACCCTTCAGTAGCACTGATAGGGCTGCCCATAAGTGATGCTGTCAGGCAAAAGCCTTGTATGTTCATTTATTTCTTATCATTTATGTCTTTTTGACAGCTTAATTTAACTGTACTCATCAACCTTCACATATGTCTGTGGTTTTACAGATGACTATCTAATAAAAAAATCTTGTCTTTTAACCACATAGAGTATTCATAATGCATTTTTCCCCGTTGGAAAAAAAACAAACAAATCGGCCCAGACTATTTCTAACGCCCAAAACTAATGGGCTGTGCTCTAAACTATAAGTAAAATTCAAATTTATATAAGTAATTTAGTTAAATTAAGAGCAAATATGTTCCTTTTCCAGTTTTTTCCTTTTCCATGTTTACTCTACTGCTAAAGTAGCTTAATTACAGTTAAGTATATTTGTTGCTTGTATACAAAAAAATACAACAATACCTTTACCTTGGTAAAGGTATTGTTGTATTTGTTTACCAATTACTAATTACCAGTTGGTAATTGGTAATTATCAATTATTGGTAATTACTTTTACCTTGGTAATTGGCAATTACCAAAAAGGTAATTACCAATTTACCTTTGGTAATTTTGGAATTACCAAAGGTATTACTTTTGGAATTACCAAATTCCAAAGGTAATTTGGAATGAATTATTTCCAAACTCATGGAAATAATTACTTTCTGTCATGTGATACATTATGAAAAAAATCTGCCCAGACTATTTTTACTGCCCAAAACTAATGGGGTATGCTCTAAACTATAACTAAAATTCAAATTTATATGAATAATTTAGTTAAATTAAGATTCCATTTTTTTCTTTTCCATGTTTACTCTACTGCTAAAGTAGCTTAATTACAGTTAAGTACATTTGTTGCTTGTATACAACAAATACAACAATACCTTTACCTTGGCAAAGTTATTGTTGTATTTGTTTACCAATTACTAATTACCAATTGTAATTACCTTTACCTTGGTAATTGGTAATTACCAAAAAGGTAATTACCAATTTACTTTTGGCGATTTCAAAGGTAATACCTTTGGAATTACCAAATTCCAAAGGTAATTTGGAAAGAATTATTTCCATATTCATGGAAATAATTACTTTCCGTCATGATGCATTATGTATGTTTGTTAATGATGCAGCGTCAGCTATAAAATGGTTTCTGAAAAATACTTTTTATGGTGTTTATTGTACTGTTTTGCTGTAAATCACAGCATCTTAAAAATGTTTCCATAACTCTTGAAGTAAAATGAAAAAAGAGGTTGGCCGTGTTTTGGTAGGTTTGCAGTTAAATCACATTCTTTCCATAATAGAAGATGAATTGAGCATCGATTCTTTAAATGTTCAAAGCTAGGAATATTGTTTTATAACCTAACTTCACTTTAAACTTAACAACTTCATTACTGACTTGTACGGGGAGTTTCTTGGGCTTCATGATGCTGCTTGATCACTATTGTTATGGAAGAAACCTCCGAGGCCTTCAAATTAAAATACTTAGAAGTTTGTGGTCAGAACGTGGCAAAATATGGAAAAGTATGAATTCTGCTTTAAAAACAGTGTTACTTTTTAAATTATTTTTATTTTTGTTGTTTGAAGTCAATGTTTATTTGTTTTTAGAAGATTTGCTTTTTTGCAATGACAGTTTTAGAAGTCGTAGCTTTCCTATGAGGCTAACTCAAGACAAGGATTGCAAGTTAGCCACAAGACAGACCTCCTACAAATGAAGCAATAAACATCCATTAAATAAGTTATTTAAGATTCCAATAATTACAATAGTTATTGGAATAACAAAACAACAACAAAAACAGATATCCTAATAGAATAAAGTAAGAATACACATGCTTGGTGAAAAAGTATTATGAAGTTAATCGTGTTCTGACCTGCAGAGCAGTCTGATGAGAACAATTTGTTTCTGGAAAAGTAATCTAAAGCCATCGTTTCATCAAATCACATAACATAGCTGAGATTATCTCTGCTATGTGATCTCTGTGTTTTCATGAGCAACATTTTACTGCAACATTTAAGCTTAAAGGCTTTATCTCGACCGATTGAGAAACCTCACATCTCCACTTCCCATCAGTTTCTGTGAAAAGTAAATAACAAAACTTGTGGCTTTTTGGTAACGTTGCTGCTGGGGGGGGGGGGGTTCAAGTCTGTTGCTGACTCAAACCACATTCTTCATTGCCATCCAAACAAAACAGGTCCGTCTCAGATGGAGAGTAGCTTCGAAGAAACAGACAGGAAGTGGTGAGTTGGACGGGGAGTTCACTGCAGCTCATCCGTTTCTGCTATTCATCTGAATTTAAATTGAGCTTGAGGTGTGATAATTATACACAGTAAGTCTGCACAATTCTTCACATGAAAAAAAAAACAACTGTCAAATTGAACATGCAGAAAGATGTTTAGAGAACATTGTATAAATGTTCATGTAAATTGAAATTTTCTCAAAGATAACAGACCGAACAGTTCAACAGATTCATGTGGTTGATGTTCGCTTCTTCTTACATCATCTGGATTGGCCACACCAGTATACAAAGACAATAAACAGTCCGACATATCTATAGCGATGTTTCACTTGAATCTAAACCATGACCCTTTTGCATGGGCTCCACTCAGGCGTGCTCGGGTTGGCCTGGTGCGGGTTCAGAGTCTTTCCATTGGGTGGTCCAACCCTCTTCCAGCTTAGTTCTTGGGACTTTCTTGGTCGGGATTCCAAGCAAGCCGACAGACTGCAGGACATCGATTGGCCAAAGAGCAACATCAGTCATGAAAGCATCTCCTTTGTGGGCTCAGACTGGTGGAAGAATGGAGGCTGCAATTCAGCTATGGCATTTTTGGAAACGGTGGCCAAGAGTGAGGGTTTGATGATTTGAATTTATTTTATTTACTCGTTGTGCTATGACGACCCGCCCACATTGAGGCAACACTCCGTTATATGTAAACCTACTGAGTCTGTGTGGAACAGAGTTGGGTCAAATTAAGGTGAAGTGAGTTGGACTGAAACTGGACAATGTAAAAAAAAAATGGCAGCAATGCAACAAGGGTGACTCAGCAGAGATCCCAAAGAAAGTTGATCAGAATATTATGCTAATATTTAAAAGAACAAATATGTACTAATCAAGGGAAAACTGTAAAGCTTTCATTTTAAATTTTAAGAAACTTGCTGTACGTGTTTGATTGGTTAGATGAGAAAAGTTACTGTTAAAGAATATAAATCACATTCAAAATGAGTAAACTGTGGCACAGCGGTGTTCCTTCTGTTGCATCTCTTTTCCTATAGGCTGGTGGTGCATTCAGACTCAAAAGCTGCCATCGCCTTGTGGATGGTGTTACACCAGCTTGTTCTGTCAGCTGGTAGAAAAGACCATGTGTGTGTGTGTCAATGTAGCAAGTGTTTAGGGAGGTCTTGACTTGACTTGGTCCTTGTACCTCTGTTGCAATGTCCAGAGAGCAGTGTGATGTACAGTACAACCTTAGGCAGGCAATGGTCTTCCATTCCGGACATGTGACCTGCCGAGTGTAGTCGAGTCCAGAGGAGTATGGCCTTGATACTATTGATGGAGGACTAAGATGATGGTTATACAGTCACCCCAGTGGATGTTAAGGATGGAGCAGAGGCAGCGCTGGTGGAAGCATTCAAGGAGTTGGAGGTGACCGGTATGTCACCCACTTCTTTGAGCCTTTGGAATAATTTATAAATCCATCCATTCATTATCTGTACCTGCTTCTTCCTTTTCAGGTTGCGGGGGGTCACTGGTGCCTAGAGTTGCATTTGGGCCCAAAAAAAATCAGATCCGACCCAGCCCCTAGTCATCATTTCCAAACCCAACCCAGCAAATTAACAGTAATAACAGGTCTGTCTATCTATCTATCCATCCATCCATCTATCTATCTATCTATCTATCTATCTATCTATCTATCTATCTATC